TTACTTACTGACATCAACCAAATCTTTAAATGGGCTGCAGAAAACAATATGAAGTTCAACGATGAGAAATTTCAATTACTCCGATATAGTAAACGTGAGGAAATAAAAATTTCATCGGATTTTCAAACAAATTCCAACCACACAATAGAGTGAAAAACTAACGTCAAAGACCTGGGAGTGATCATGTCGGAGGATCTCACCTCCAAGGACCATAACATTGTATCAATCGCATCTGCTAGAAAAATGACAGGATGGATAATGAGAACCTTCAAAACTAGGGAGGCCAAGCCCATGATGACACTCTTCAGGTCACTTGTTCTATCTAGGCTGGAATATTGCTGCACACTAACAGCACCTTTCAAGGCAGATGAAATTTCTGACTCAGAAAATGCACAGAGAACCTTCACGGCGCGCATAACTGAGTTAAAACACCTCAGTTACTGAGAACGATTGAAGTTCTTGAACGTGTACTCCCTGGAACGCAGGCGGGAGAGATACATAATTATATACACATGGAAAATCCTAGAGGGATTAGTACCAAATTTGCACACGAAAATCACTCACAACGAAAGCAAAAGACTCGGCAGACGGTGCAACATCCCCCCAATGAACAGCAGGCGTGTCACTAGCACGATAAGAGACAACACAGTAAGTGTCAGGGGCCCAAGACTGTTCAACTGCCTACCAGCATACATAAAGGGGATTACCGATAGATCCCTGGCCGTCTTCATGCAGGCACTGGACAAGCACCTAAAGTCTTTACCTGACCAGCCTGGCTGTGGTTCGTAGGTTGGATTGCGTGCAGCCAGCAGTAACAGCCTGGTTGATCAGGCCTTGGTCCACCATGAGGCCTGGTCACAGACCGGGCCGCGGGGGCGTTAGCCCCCCGGAACTCTGTCCAGGTAAACTCCAGGTATCATAGGTTCGATATAATATAATTTCATGTGGTCATAACATCTGTGAGACTTCAAGACCGTTTAAAAAACATTGATGTGATGTACACAAAGCTTGATTAACACTTAATTATCTACTTAAACCTTAAATGACTCTCAATCTCAGAGTAAAGTTTGTATTTTTTGGGCCTATGTGGGTCCTAGTTTGTCTGTTTTAATGGAAAAATTGGGATAATTTAAAAGTGGTTTTTATAAAGTAATATCTGAGTATGTCAATGGATTAGTTAGAAAGCTTATAATAACTTGATAATGCAACTTGACAGATATTTCAGTTGTAATGAAAGAGTCATACGGAGATATTAGGATATTAATCTCTCTGAGATAACATAAGAATATTTCTTCAGTTTGACTTCAAAGTTGGTCTTTCTTAGAGGAAAGTTTAAATTGGTTGTGGGACGTGTATATCTTAATTTACCTTTTATACTGAAGAAACTGGATATAACTTGTGAATGTCTCTTCTGATTTTGTTCAAATCTTCAGTGCTAATATTGATCCGCAGTAAAAACTTAAAAGCACACTGTGCACTGTTGCCATCACGTGCACTGTTGCCATCACGTGCACTGTTGCCATCACGTGCACTGTTGCCATCACGTGCACTGTTGCCATCACGTGCACTGTTGCCATCACGTGCACTGTTGCCATCACGTGCACTGTGCTACAGGGAGCTGGGGTTATGCAAAGTGGGAATATCTTGCGTCACGCTGCAACCATAACACTTTTATTTTGTTTCAAGTTATGTTCCAGACTTTTTTTTTTGTTAAATATCTGGTCATACTATGTACAAGATTTTTACTAAAGTTTTCTTACATTTGTGTGTCACTGAGTAAAGTGTACACTGAAGGTAACTCAGTTATCTACCTGGCTGGAGTGCCTTCCCAGGGTCAACGCCCAGTCCTTGAGTAGGCCTCCCGGTAGATCAGGGCTTGATCAACTAGGCTGTTACTGCTAGCCGCATACAATCCAACGTACGAACCACAAACCCCTCTGATCGAGTTCTGAACATCGCTATTTTTGCAGTTATTAAATTTGATTAGATTGATCACCTTACACAAACAACCCAGGCAACTGACGATCAAACTTACGTTTCAGTCCCACTGGAACCAAGTCGGACCCAAACGTCGTTGTAAGTTTCGGTATTCTTGGTGCGCCTTATTTCTTGCAGTTATATTGTGTCTTTACATTAATACTTACCTTCTTGTCTTCAGTCATGGCTGTATTATTACCTTGGAATATCAGCTTTGCTTCTCTACCCATATTGTAGTCATCTACCTATATTGTAGTCATCTACCTATATTGTAGTCATCTACCTATATTGTAGTCATCTACCTATATTGTAGTCATATACCTGCATTGTAGTCATCTACCTATATTGTAGTCATCTACCTATATTGTAGTCATCTACCTATATTGTAGTCATCTACCTATATTGTAGTCATCTACCTATATTGTAGTCATCTACCTATATTGTAGTCATCTACCTATATTGTAGTCATCTACCTATATTGTAGTCATCTACCTATATTGTAGTCATCTACCTATATTGTAGT